TATATTGAATTTATCGAAATATGTTTCCAACTTTTTTGAATATTCAATTACTAATGATAAAATTAACAATATTAATATGGAAATTTTACATGCATTGATTTAAAAAAAATTAGCTTAGGGAAATAATTTTTATTAGCATTTAAACACTGTATAATATAATTCTAGGTTAAGTTTGATAGTTTCTATAGTTAATTCCTAAACTTTTGACGTCATTCAAATATTTTGTGCAGTATTAGACAAAATTATAATATTTACGTAATAATAAATTAAATAAAGGGTGTCTATACACGGCTTCTCAGAAAAAAAAAATTTACATGGCTTCTAAAAAAAAAAAAAAAAAAATCTGTCGCGGTAAGCCTAAACTTAAGCCTTAATTGATATTATATAGTGATTATTTTTCCATATCGTTAGAAAGTGCATCAATCTTTTTAAATTGCCAACTCCAAGCTGAGTTGTATAAAAATGGTCTTAAATCGAATCTATTATCATCAGGACTATACGCTTCAGCGTGATATGAAGGTGTAAGTGTAGTCATTTTATGCCGATTTATAGAATAATAGTAGAAGAAACGTTTGACTTTTGATGCGATCTTGTTTTTTTTTCATAAATAATGTGTGATTAGTCAACAAGATCAAGTTAGTCATTATTTTGAAATCTAAATACCTCTTTGGGCCTTAGTTCTGTTCCCCATTCATGAACGAGTTTCGAAAACATTGAAAATGGTCCACAAAGCTCGCTTTTGCGTAATTTGCCAAAGATAGACAATTCATCATATGTCATGCCCATATCAGCCTAAAATATTCAACCATTTATTCAAGATTCTGCTATGCAATATTATAAACATTACATTATATTTATCATACCTCATCAGATTGAATATATTCATGAGTGATTGGTTCAAGCTCTGCAGTCGGTATTGCTTTAAGAAACCTATAAAGATGAATTCACGTAGTACGCAGTTTTCTAATAATAATAATAATACAAATAAAATATTTACTCATCAAGTATAGGAATTCCGAATTCATTTTTTGCGTAATCGATAAATTTACGCAAATCATTTTTGCTTATAGCGCCAATTGGGTTTATATCCGCGCTTGAGCAGTCGTATTTTGTTAGATAGCCTCGAAGACTTTTAAAAATTTTATGTATTTATTAGTATATAGAGAGTATAACACGTGACACTTCCGTTAATAATGACACCTTTTGGAAACGGCTAATAAGTCGATATAGCACTTTTATAAACAAGATTCAAGCTTAAAAATGACAAAAGTGAGTGTCTTTATAACGGAGATAATTTATAGATACCTATAATTACCATTCATCTACATTCGAAGCACCAAGAACAAGTAATGATCCACACTTATTCCTCACCCAAGGTAAAAGTTGTGCAAACAAATATGAAAGAACCATTCTTAATCGAGCCTTAAAAGATCAATTTATGACTAACTTCACGTTATGATTGAACATACAACGCATTAAATCATATTCTAATCATACCTGTACATTTTGAAGTGCCAAATTCTCAGTATCCGTACCACCATCGATTCGAAATCGTGGTGTCTTATTTGTAATCAAACTAAATACAGTACATACGGATGAAACAATGCTATCCATGTTCATATCAATATGATAACTGTAAGTAATCCAGAACTATATCATATTAGTGTCATCTTAATTTGAATCCTAATTTGGACAGGTAGGATCTTGACTAACCAGCCTATAGCATCAGCAAGTTTTTTTGCCCGTTCACGAGTTTCCTTACTTGAATTGACTGTACCCATATAGGATGTGTGAAAAATGCGGCTAGAAAATATAAATCATTTAAATTACTGTTCCATACAACATTCATTAAATGCCATTAACTTATTACTTTGCGAATTCTTTAGGATCTGTGGGAATATAGTCTGAGTCTTCTTTTTCGCCGACAATCTTCCTTGCATCCATAATGACTTGAGTATCTAATGATCATTTAGAAAAATAAACTTAACTGTCGTAAAGTTATTAGAAGAAATTTACCATCAAATTACCTCCATTCGATGCAGCTTCAGCAACAAGGCGGCACATAGAATGTACAATAACTGCTGTAGCGCAACTATCCACTCCTCCACTCAGAGGCAAAAAATAACCGCTAGTCTTTGATCGACGGAGATAATCCCAAAGCCAACAAGCTGGGCCAAGACTAAACAATTGTTCGAACTTTAATACTAATCTTAGCATTGATTAATTATCAAATTGACCTTACGCAATCTCTTGTTCCGGCGTATGATAATGCTCTTTGATAGGTTTTGTAGGAGAAAAGTGTGGGTTAAAATTTTTTTCTTCAGAAGACAAAGCAATAGGTGTCTCAATGCGTTGGTATGTGGCCGCATTAACGGCCTGCATTGCCCTACTGCTCATTCCACGGTGTGAACGAACATCATCTATATCAATGGTCGCAGTGATAACTTCCTTAAAAATATAATGTATTAATTATTAGATTAGATATAATTTCATTTTCAATTTTTATATTCAAAATGCACAATAATGTTGCATGTCAGGCAACAAACCACATTATTAAGGGAAAATTGTGATCCTTGAGCAATTATTCGACCATTGATTGCAATTAATGCACAGCCGTCATAATATAATCGATCACCATCACAACCTTGTTGATTAGAATAGAGGTAAACTCCTCCACTCTTATAAGCAATGTAAACCTGTTAGATTATTATCATTAATCAATGAACTTTCGGGTAAATTCCGTTGATATACCTTCATCATTGCTTCTTTAATTACATCAATACGTCTGTGAAGTTTACGTAATTCATGATGACTACCACTACTATTGGTGAAAATTTCTACACCATCCAAGCCCATACTAATATGAGGACTATTATATGCAGGTAATTAGATTTAGCTTCTATACCATTAATGTCCAAAAAACAACATGTACCTATTAGGTGTAAAAAGCTCTTCACATAATTCCACTCCAATACAAGCGTCAATAGTAGAGATTACCGCATCACCAATAGGAACTACAGTCTTTTGATATATCGATTACAAAAAAAAAAAAAAAAAAAAAAAGTAAAAGAAATAGTATATAAGTAAAGAACTTACTTGTCCTGTAATATTCCTAATAATTCTTGGAAGATAATAATTCTCAACATAACGAGCTGGCGACCAGGCAGTGAAATATCTCATTTCACGATAATTACCATCGTTAGCCAAAAACATTTTTGGGCGAATCAATAATATTTTACAATTATGGATTATAACACTACAATTGTATCTAACATTTTTATGAGACACTGGCCTATAGAGAAAAATTATAAGATTTGTGGAAGTATTTGTATAATATTGATAAAGAAATTTTGTGTTAAGACAAGATTGGCTTACATTCCAATAACTAGTAGCATATCTTTAGCTTCTTCAGATTCCAATATTTTGCCCAACATTTCC